ATTACACAGACCAAAGTGGAGGCTATCCAGTGAGGCTTCAGCCTAACTGTGTCATGTAAAGTGGTACTGATATCTACTGGCAGCTCTTTTAATGCATGGCCTGTTTCCTTTTCCATCACTCCAGTGGCTCAAATGATTTCAGATTGGTGGTAGGCAGGAGCACCGGCATTTCAATTATCATTCTTGCTTTCTTGCAGAATTGAGTTGCATTTGGATACATAATGTGTACTAAATCTATTAATACTGAAGTGATCATTGAGGGAGAGATTCCTGTTATTGTTTTATTATTCACATTCAGAGCTGCAGGGAACATGCTCTGAAAAAAACTTTGAATGCTTTTGTGTTTAACAGAAAAATGCTTATATTGTTAATAAATAATTATTTATCTGAACGAAATACAACCTAAGTTTTATCTTGTAACCCGCTGTTTTATATGGATTGTCATATGCTCAAGAAAGATAATTCTTTTTTTTTGCCTCTTCCTTTGAAGGCAGTTTGTTATGCTGTGGGCTTTACAAACACTTTAAAAAAGCCACAGGCAGCCAAGGGTATAATGCAATTAAGTAGAATACACAATAAATCATAATTAAAAGAAAACAGGAACATCAAAGATGTTCACTTTGCTCTGATTCCAACCTATTTAAACTGCTTTGGGCTCTTTATCATTACATTCAGAGCATTGGTTTGGTAAGGCATGCTTGAGCAGAGAACACAAAAATGCAATTTCTTTTACTTCAGGAACTATAGGCACACATCACACACACAAAGATGTATGGATAGACTGATGTTTTGGAGGTTTTCGCTATCACAGTGTTACTCAGAGTATCTCATCGATGCCTAACTTGTTTGTCTAGCTCCAAGGGCTGACGGGTGCCACTGCTCCTGGCTTCTGTTCCTGTCCAGTAAATAAAGATGGCATCACAAGTTCTGAAAAAGAATGGTGGTTCCTTTACAGCTTTCAGCTTTCAGGTTTTTATGGAATTGTGAGTTATGCTGCCCCTTTCACAATTCCTGAAGGAAATTTCATTTTCTAATTAACTTTTATTTAGAGTTGTAATTTTTATGAAGAGTATCAGAAAATAACTATGGAAAGTGTCACATGCTGAAGCTGAACGATGATGACAGTATTTTATCATGTTCTTGTCTGGTCAAACAAAGACAAGACAGGGATCTTTATTTGGGAGGCATCATCTGGCCCTGCTGTGGATGCGTGATTTTTTTGGGCATGCCTCGGTCTGTGTCCAGCTGGAGACTATTTGGATGACTATTTTTGTGCTCATAGATCAAAAATGGCCAATAAAGACAAGCAAAATGATCGTTCCAGTGTCCGAGAGACAGCAATGGCATACTGCTGTGTATCGTATTCAGATCTGTGGGAATCGAAATGTGCTCTTTCTGTGTGTGTAAAGGGCTTTAATATTGGATAGAACAGAAAAAACTACAATTCAAGTACAGCATGAGACTTTTGCTTTATCTAAGTTTAGACAAATCAAAGTCAGTAAATATGGATTTAATAAATTCTGTAAACTGTGTTTGTGAAAGTGGAAGGTTTGTAAATGCTTATGCTGTAGATGAACACATTGGTTGTATTATATCGAAAATTCATTTGTTTAGCTAATCATCTCTGCAGATGTTACTGACAAAGAGAGAAGGATGTCCCAACCATCCATCCTTCCATCAGCAGGAATCTGTTTAATCCTGGGAAGTGTCGCAGCAGTTGAGAGCATAGCCGGGAATCGAAGAGCACAAGGCCCACATCCTGAATGGGATACCAGTCGAGGAAAACGGGTCCCATTCTAGCAGTACACAAAGGAAATAAGCAAAAATCTTCATACAGATAAATGGAAATATGCCTTTGCTCACCTTATTCGAACACACTCCAAGTTTTAAAGGAATGAAGAACAAAGAAAAAATTATCAAAAAAGTATCAATTTGACTGACATTAGCAGTATCATTTCAGGAAGTTGTTTTCAAAAACAATAGACAGAAAACAGAACAACCCAAAATGAATAACACAGGAACAGCATGAGCAGAGCTGAAGTATTTATTCTCTGTATTTTGTAGTCATGTCTGCACATTTATAATGAAGTCTGCTGGGACTACAGAAATAACTGCTAATGTGTTACCCACAATAACAAACCTTTGAAAACCATCCATAAAGTCAGGTTCTGTTATATCTGTAACAGTAGCATTTCCTGGCTTTTTACGCCATTTGTTGTGCTTTTAATGTGGAAAGTCATTGAGCAGCTCTTCTCATTATATTATTGATTGGCTGTCTAATATGGATTGACAAATGTTCTGCCAATGTAATCCCAATATAAAGAAAGTATGGTGCCTATAGTGGATGCATCCTGACATTTAGTGTACTTTATTCTCTTTATAGCAGTTAGGAATACTTACCCATGCTGGCACAATAGTTGTATGTTTCTCAGATCTGTGTGCCACTTATTATATTGCAAAATTCCATCAATGCTGGGAAAAAAACTGTAAACTGTGTTTATAAAACTACACTTCAACATTCCTGCTGTACGTGACATGAAATTTCAAGGGCTTTGACACATTCTTGAGCAACTCGTTAACTTATTGTACCAAAGCAATGGGGACGAGTAGACAAGAGCTTCAGTGAATATACGGCATATTCACTGTGTACATTTTTGTACATTTTCTAGCATGGTGCATGATGTACTTCATTCTTCAATTAGCCCTGAATTAATCTCAACGACTGCACAAACCTTCTGTATCCTATACTGTAAAGAAGCACAGCATTGCCGAAGTCTGTGTGGGCCTGTCTGTGTTGTGCCCTCCCAGGCATTTTGTACAGTACAGGAAACTGAACAAAATCATTTTTTCTTCCAAAAGGTATTGTCTGTCTTCCTTTTGCAAGTGAATATTGTGTGCCACCAACTAAACTGGAGCAGAAATGAAGTGATTTTTGTTCCCAACAGTCTGAGAATGACATGACTGTCTCCCAGTTGCCCTTCCTTTCTTTCTGTAAAATGAGAGAATCCTGATTACTCTCCCACAATGGACTCACGATACCTGTCTTTGATGTGGTCCAGATTAGCTAAAGCTAGAATTGGTGTTTTGGGAAATCTAATCATAGTTTTGAATGAAAAAGAGAAATCGTTAAGTAAGCAAAGAGAAGTGAATAGTTAGAAAGGAAAGGAGCTGAAAGGAACATTTTGGATCTGTGAATATAGAAATATGACCGAATAAGACTGAGTATGCTTCTGGATAAAAATAAGCATTAAAGGGGTGCTGTTTTTTTCACATCATTATTTAGTACTCCTCTTGTATTGGAATCACAATTTCTGTTTGTTTTGCAATTAGAGATTGAAACTAAAAAACATTTTGATGTAGTCATGGATACTTCTACATGTTGTACTGCAAAGGAAAAGGCTGATTTTCCAGCTCATTGTTTTGTCTTTACATTTTATTTTTTTATTTAAAATTAGGCCTTTTGTCTCTGCTTGTAAAATGTAGTTTCTCTAATGCAGCACATATTTACGGCATGTGGACATTAGCAGTCACTGATCGATCTGTGATGGTTAATATTTGGTAATCCTGCCTGTGAATCATTAAGTCTGGAAAAACTTAAGTAAGACTTACCTCTTTTTCAATAGCATCCCCAAAAACAGCAACTATTTTTAACATCTGTTCCAAATAACTGAAGCACATCATCTAACAGTCTCAAAATATTAAAGCCCTATACCACTCAACAGTGATATTTGCGCACACGATCCCCGAACATGCATACACCTAAAACCAGCTTTTATTAAAATGTTATTAACAAGTCTCTGCAAGGATGTTCTGTATGCATCTGAATAGTTCTCTGCCTGTAGAGCTGCGTGCCTGTCTCTCTGGAAGCTTATTGATTCAGAAAGCGTGTACAGTATGTCAGGGCTGATACAGTACAGAATGGAATGAAAGATCGTTGGTTGACAGGCGATCCTGTATTGATATGTGCTGACTGAATGGTAATGAGTCCTGGCAGTTTGTCTGTCAGAAAGGAATAATGAGCAATCCTTCAACTACCCAAGCGAGGCAGGATCCCTAATTATATTATCACGGATTCTCAACATTACTGAATAATGTGGTATTATCTGTCTGTGTTTCTGTTTTATTTACACTTTTAGATTTTTATACTTCTATGCATACGCCTTGTCCCCTTGTGTATAGTAAGTGGATATGCTCTGCTAGGCTCATGCCTTCTGTTCTTCTTGTAGTTCAGTCCAGTTTTGTCAGGGGATCCTTAGCTTCACCCTTGAAAACACACATTTTCTCAAGTCCTGCTTTGTATAAACTCCCCTATCCAGGCAGCTGTACTCTTCTGGACAGGCATTTACAATCTCACATTGAGGCTTTAACTCTCCTGTTTGTATTCAGTGTAGAGCACACTGAACCTAGAGTACAGAAGTCAATATATTGGAAACGGTGCAAAGAACAACTTTGCTGTTTCTGCTTGTTCTGCTTGCTTAGGAAGGTCCAGCAGAAAGGTAGCTGGTCTGACTATGTGACCTGGGAAGATTTACTGAACTCTCAACCATGTTGCGTACAGTTCAGTATTGTACTTTTTTCCTTATGGAGCTGTACTAAAAGGGGGACTGAAAGTTAATGAACTGCTGGAGAAACGTTAGCCTGCTCTCATCTTCTCCCATGTGAAATCATCGGCGGCAGGATTTTCTTTGTAAATGCATCTGGATGTTCCTTGCAGGCATTTTCTGAAGAGGAGCAACTTTTTTTTAAAAGCAATTAAAATCTTTCATTTTGTGTCTGAAAACTTGGTGGATTCCTTTCAAAGAAATGCAACATGAATTAGAAATGGAAAGAGTGGGAGGTTCCACGGAAGCAATAAGCACGCTCCGAAACAGGCCTCTCCCTGTTCTTTTCTACTTTGGACCGATCAGGTTGACACTGCCAGTTTCCTAATGCAATGTACCCATTTCTCTGTTTCTCTCCTGTTTCCCCTTCCCCGGCTGGGTGTTTTGTCTTTCCTGCAGGAGCCCTACAGATTGAAAACAGCGAGGAGACAGACCAGGGCAAATATGAGTGTGTGGCGTCCAACATCGAAGGCGTGCGTTACTCCTCCCCCGCTAACCTTTACGTGCGAGGTAGGGAGCCCCCTGGTCCCGGAGCTCACACACTGCAAAGAGCTGTTCAGACGCTTCGGCCCCACAGTAGCTGCACATCCCCTGACCGATAGACCTCCCTCCCTCTCAGGCTCCTGAAAGACGGCTCCTGCAGCTGCCGGGCTTCAGTCTCCTGAAGTGCGGTCCATAAAAAACAAGCAAGATTTACTGATATGCAGTTCAGCTTTGGGTTTTGACACAGTTTCTAACCTAAAACAGCTGACATTCCTGTAAGCCAGTCCTTGCTCACTCACTGTTTTAAAATCTTTCATCCACTGGCCGCACTGAGAATTTGAGTTCAATTATTCTGTGAATATAGTCTGAAATTCTGTTGAGGCCAGAAAATACAATACCTGCCACACAGGAAAAAATAGTTCTGTAACGCGCAACGTCTTTCTTCTTCACTGTGATGTTAAATATTGTGTTTTAACCATTCTAGGCAGTTAATCTGTTTATAGATACTTCTGTAGGCCTTCTGTACACAGAAAGAGAAATGCAATACATTCCAATACATTTATGTGAACTTCAATATGTTTAGCAAGTTAATTGTTATTAAATTTATAAATATATTATCAGTACCGCTTATTCTGACCTCATTTTATGCCGATCTTGATTTTTGTGGCCTTTTAGCGTACTGTATTCTCTCACAGGTGATGTAGTGCGATATTTTAGATACACCGTGTGAGACCTGTTGTTGCAGCTGTAGTGATCAATGACTTTGTAGAAAAAGGAACCTTTCTGGTTCTTTGAGGTCAGAAGTAAGGTCTTCATTCCACTTAGCTGTTATTTACCAGGAAGAAGACGGTAAGTTCGGCTTGATAGCTAAACTGTTGCCTTAAATGATCGAAAAGCTGCCATTGAACTGGAATTCAATAAAAGAACAGACTATTAGAAATGAACCAGATGAAAACTGCTGTATCTTACCTTAAAGTACCTGGCCATATATATTCCAATCTTAATAAATGTCGTTTACTATATAATGCTATACAGATATTCAAAGTATTTCTGGTGTTAAATTAATAATTTTAAGTTTGTTTAAACATATGGAATCCTGAGGGGTGTTGTTTTTTGAGGATAGTGATCTGGGGGATGTGTGCTGTACCGTTAAGTTCCCTGTTTCTTGATCTGTAGCACTTTTTCCACAAAACACTCCGACACCATTGTAAAACAAAGGATAATTTAATAACTAATAAAGGTGCAGGATTATTCCTGGTGATTGGAATATTCAACAAATTAACATCTTTCAGTGGATGGCTGAAAAGAAAACTTGCTTGACCTACCTTCTCTCTCGGTGCCCAGCCTGTGCTCCCAGACAGCTAATCTGTTTCTTGTGTGTGAAAATAATACATTAAGATATACAGATTTGTGTACCTAGAAGGACTAAAACACATGTTTACGATCAGCTGAAGATGTGGCTACAGCCATCAGCCTTCTGCTAGTTCTTAACCCCCATCTACCAATTACCATCCACCGTTATTTACACCCAGATGAGGGACTGCTTGTGTATAATGTTCAGCTGGCCGCCAACAAACACTTCCTCCCCAATAACCATCCCTCATGCACATTTTCAACTTGCCATTAACTAACAGATCTATGACTAGTCTGTTTACAGTGAGAAGCTGTTAGTGACGGTTCATTCAGTCAGACACAAAGAGGTAGATCGCTATAGAATTCAGAAGAAAGTTCTTTCCCTGTCAATCCATTGATGGCCTCTAGTGGCCGCCCTTTGATCACTGCACAGTTAAACCTAACCTTGGCTCCACATATTGGGCCCTTGGTTGGAAACCCAACAGTGTCTGATTACCCATTGCTTCCCATCAGGAGTTAAGCAGATGAGTGTTTTGAATATGTGGCCCCTTATTTAACAACATTGAAAACCTAGATGTCCACACAGAGGCAAATGTTACTAGACATTGATGTTTTTAAATTGTATATTAGACATGAGTGAAATCAGTCTCTCAGTAAATACTGTACCTGTTAATTTAATAGAATGTTCACTCTGAAAACACTGTCACTATGTTTAGAAACAAATTGCTGCATAACCAAATCAAATTCCATCCGTGCTGACTTCTCAATCCATTACTGAAATTGGATCCTTGATATAAAACAGGGACATACTGTGACATTGATAACTTTTGTTTAAAATTATTTTTTATTTTCTCCTCTAGCTGCTAATACAAAGGCAAAAATATTTGGAGCAAATTCTTGCAAGTAAAACAATATCATTGTGGGGTGGGAGGATTTTTTTTGGCCTAAGTTTGGAAATCTTGGTATTTTCTTCGCTTTGTATATTTCAAGTGTTGTAAAGTCAATACATCCCCCATCCACCATGAATTGTGTTTTGGAGTCAGTAAGTCTATAGCAGTACAGCAATAGACGCTTACTGAATCTAAAATACTGCAGTTCTCTGCCTTGTTAAGAGTACAATGTACATCTCTAAGATTCAAGAAAGTTATGTTTTGCAGCGCTGAAAGAAAGAAGAACATGTATCTTTCTACTGTCTTGTTTGCTTTCTAAATAGTTTATATAAATATGTACATGGGATTGGGAATAAACTGGACTTGAAATTAGCAGCTATCAGTGCTCTATTCTGCTCCTTGCTTAAAATCTGATGTTTTAGCTACAGTTTACAGTTTTGCAAGAGGGGGTGATTTTTGGGCTTTAAGGCACTGTTAAATAATTTGAGACATACATTTTGTCAAAGGGTGGTAACAGAGAATCTTGTGCTGTCAGTCGTAGCTGCTAATTTGAAGTACTATGCTTTTCTTTTTTTCTTTTCCCTTTTTGTTTTTTTTTGTTTTTATTTTGGTTTTCTTTCCTCAATTGAAGCAAATCGGCCACCATGGGAGTCACATCAGGTGGCAAAGACTTGCTGTTTTTTTTTTATTATGAGGTTGAATATACTGTAGTGGCCGCTAACTACTAGCAAATGGTCTTTTCAAGGCAAACATGCGACCACTGGTTAATTTGATTGTTTTGGGTACAGAAGATCGCAGAGCAGGCAAGTTTTGAATGACCAATGTCATTTTGTGGTGATATCAAGGAAGGAAAGCAAAGGAAAAAAACAAGAAATGTAGCAGCTAAAAGCCTTGAGGTGGCCTTTTTTACTCTCTCTGTGTTTCCCCTATTTTTCTCTTCTCCTCATGTCATTGTGTTCTGCATCAACCCTTTTACATCCCTCAGAGCTTCGAGAAGGTTGGTGTGTTTTTTCTTTTTTACTTTTTTTACCCACATTTTTTTTACATTTGTTGGAAAAAAGGCAAAATTAAAAAAAAGAAGAGAAAAAACAATCCAAATGAAATCGAATTATGAATAAGAAATTAATTTTCAAAAGTGATTAAAGAAAACCCGCTATGCTCGGGTTTTTTTGTTTTATTTTAAGTTTGCATTGTGGGGCCTTTTCTCTTTTGCATCCTTTGGTATTGCTGCTGCTAGGAGAGCTTCTCTGCACTTGTTGTCATGGAAACCCAGCACTTGGACATAACAGGGCCTGATGCATGATGGGAGAATGTAACTACTGTGCTTGCATGCCCTTTTCTAAATTCCTTTGCGCCGTTCTTCCTTCCTTCCTCTGTTTCATTGCACTGTTTTTTTGTTTTCCTGTTCCTGTTTTCTTTGCTTCTTAGTTATGTGCCCTTGGTTTGTTTTCCTCCTTTCAGTTTCTGGTTACTTGTCTGTTGGTTGTGGGTCTTTTGCTTTTAGTCATGCAGCTGCTTTTTGACTCCCTCAATAAAGAAAAGTGGAAGTAAGTAAATAGCCAGTGTTCCTGTCATCTTATTAATAGCAGTAACTCATGGGGGATAAGTGGAGTATCTGATTGAACATGATTTGTTGCGGTAATGACTTCACACAGCCCTGGAATCTGCTCTACAGCGCTACATGGATCAATATCAAATATAATGACTTACGTTTACATAACGGCAGTTCTTTAGTGTTATGGGCCTTAGCTCTTTCTGCTCAGATGATTTTTCAGCTTTGACAGGATGGAAGTGTGATGAGTATTGTCCGGCTCTCCTATGACAGACCTGTCAGTTTCCTTTTTGTAGTATTAGGTAGTAGTTGAGATTTCTTATTTCTTTCCCTGAATCAATACCACAAGTACTGTTGAGCAAGTAATTAAGAGTATTCTTACTGTTTTAAAAGTAAATAACATACTGATTTTTTAAAAAAGAATCACCTACTGTACGATACTGCAGTAAAGATGCCTAAGTCTCTTAAGAATAAACTCATTTATTTGTTTTTTAAAACCTTATAAACAACACTTTTTTAACAAAAACTATTACATGAGTAATGAATCTGGTAATCATTCTAGAAAAACAGTTAAGCACTTAAAGAAAAGTGTAATTTACAATGAAATAAATAACAATATTCAGTTAAGACAGAGTACATATTTTGGATGTTTGCCTATTTAAAACTATGTCCCTTCATATTGTTTCTGGATTTCTTTGTTCAGAATGGACCTCAATATGGCATGCCCTTAAATTTCCAGAAGTAAATACATCCAGTTTCTAATTGCTTTACTCTGATATCAGTTTGTTTCATTCCTATGACTCCAGGTAACTGAGATGTGATATACCTATTTAAAATCATTATCAGTAATCATATATCTATATAAGGATCTTAGCACTATTGCAAATTACAGAATTGTGCCCCAGATATCATCATAATGTTTAAATATTCTAAATGTTTGCGTTTTAGGCTGAACATAAAAAACATTAAACAACTTATTGTTTGAATTAAAATATTTGAAGTGTGAGTGGGGGAAAAAATTTGCATTAAGCTCCTGTGACTTTCTGATCCTGTTCAAAAACGTATCGCTGTTTTTTTTTAATTGGAAGGAAATCACGATGTGACAGTGCAATGCAGGGGTTCCTGTACAGCATATTCCAGCTGTGTGAAACTGTGCTCAGGATTATGGAGCTATTTTGTTCTATCAGCAGAACCACAAATGGGGTTTTCAGTTAATGTCTTAAGTTTGAAAGATTCTGTCGTCATGTCATCAGAATAGTAACACAGGGAGGACATTGAGACTCCAAGCAGACGGAGAGCATGCTTTTTCCACTAGGAACACAAGGGCTTGGCAGGTGCAGGGCATAAATAATGAAGCTTTTGGCCCACAGAACTGGTAATTCAGCCCACCACAAAGGACCTGGCATTTATTGCCAGTGCTTATTTAGCACATCCATCTCACTGTGGGTGAGTGCACAGTAGCTACCTCCACCTGCTAATCCGAAAACCCATGGCGCATGAGAGTATAGCTCAGTTCAGCAAAACAGACTGAGCTGGAATTGTTCCTTGTGTACAGTACAATACAAACCAGTGCAGTCTGGTGATAGAGAATGAACCCTAACGTGGCAGTGATGCAGCTTCGTCTTGGACTTGAGGTTTGCACGTTATTGATCAAGATATTCATGTGCTTGTCATGGCCTGTGGCAGGGAGTGAGAAAGGACAAAGAGAAGGCAAGAGTTTAGAATGTAGAAAGAGTGAGAAGACAGGAAGGATGGAACATCCTGTTAGGGAAGCACTGTGTTCCTTTGATAAGGCAAATTAGCACGTCCCTATCTTTCTGAAATCAATACTGAAGGCAACCATTTTTAATAAATGAAGATCTTAGCAGCTTGTGCCTATTCGGGCCTGTCTGCAAAGTGGAATAGAGGCCAATTCAGCATGTAAAATAAAAGTTCTTGACTTGCAAGGACTGTTGAAGATTCAGAATTTTACAATACAATGGTTAAAAATTAATAAAGTGTGTGTGAGTCAGGCAGACATTTAGTCTGTATTGTTAATCAAACAGGAGCTGTTACATGTGTATATGACCAGGCTTGATGGCAGTCTTGGTTAAATCAGCTGCCAGCACCTGAACAGGCACAGCTGGGCCAAAACACATTTTTCACTCTTCATACTTTTCCATTCACATGCTACAGTGTTTGAATTTTTAAAAGGAGCATTTAAGATGAGCATTTGTCCCCCATTTGATACATATAACTTTGTAGTCTGATCAAGATTAAAATTCTTAATGGCTTAAAAAGTTTTAAAAGCACTTTATACAGTAAATACAGTACAGGTATATTTCATTACTTTTTTCGTATAGTATATTCTATTTTGCAACGGTTAGAAAAGTTAACTTTTTGTTGCACCACTCTTTTTCACCGCTGTCTTGTTTATATTTCAAAATTGGATTCTTTGGCATTAATATAAAATTACTCCAGTGTGAATTATTAACTGTGAAAAATCACTTCTTCAGTGAGTAAATTGTCTAGAATCCAGATTAAAACTTTAGAAGCTGCTTAGCTCTTTCCCAAATAAGGGAGGTAGGCAAATTTTAAAACTAAACACTTATGAGATTTGCTCTTGTGAAGAAAGAAACGGCAGTTCTGTAAATGATAAATATGAGCTCTCAGTTTGAGAAATGCTGCCTAATGCCTAATGATGAGAGGGTCATACATTAGCATGGATAACAGAATTCTCAGTCTAGCTAAAATCATTCTGTCCCTCGCCTTTAGTCCCTTAACCTTGTCCTGCCTATTCCCTTAATCTTGGTTTGCCAGGTTGTATTGTACTGTACTCTTGACACTCTAGCCATTGCTTGTGGCTTGCATGTGGACAGAGACTCTGAGCCTTTCTTTCAATTAACTGCAGCGTGTTTTCCAGAGTTGGCTTATGGATTTTGCTCCCAAACTGCCGAAAACACTAGTTTGCTTACAAGCTGACTCGCAAACACTGCTCTGTTGCAATGTGCTTGTTGAAAATCCAGCAGGGAGGGAAGAGGTGTGGAAAATCTTAGTTTTGTGATCTTCTCATCAGCAACTCTGTGTACCAGGATTTATTTTGTCATTGAATCCCCATACAGACTGGCAGATATTCTTTATCTGTTGGAATTTGAATGAACGATGCAGGAAGACTGTGCTGTATATCCTTGAATGTGTACTTTTACCTAAACTTTTGCCTGTTTTATTTTGCACTCGCTTGCATGCTCTGCAGTTAGTGTGTTTGTAACTGAAGTTTGTAACTAAAGCTAGATTACACCTTTTGAGTCTACTTTATTACAAGCATACGCAGATAATAAGTATGTGTTTGAGAACTGGCATCTGAAGATATTCAGAGTTCATAGATTTGTTTTTATTCTAATCTTCAGAGCTTCAATACATCTTTTTATCGAAATAGAATCTTGATTTGGATCCTAAAACAACATGATCATTCAAATCTGCTGCAAGTTGTCCAGATCAGCAAATTATGCACTACATTGGAAAATTAAATAATAAAATCACAGTCTGCACTGTGGAAATTATGCAAAGAAAGCTACCATATTTTTTTGAAAGGTGAGCAAATATATCCATAATATAGTTATTATTGTAATAATTATGATTATTACAATTTATTCTTTTTAGCTACCATCAAGAGACTTTTTAAAGCAGGACTGCCTGACTAGGTCTGTGCATCCTGCACTTGCTCACAAAACTGCCTTTTTATTCCCTATTGTAATGTATAAAAAACAGTGTCTGCAAGACCCGTTGCATATTTTGTGAACAAGGGTGTAATCTAAGCTTTATGGTAACACTAAAGGCTGCACATTATTTTGGCTTCCCCCTTCATTTTGGGACAGGACAGACTTGCTCGTACTGTCTCGCCAAAATGGCCGATAATGTCCGCCTTCTAACCTCCGTTTGGCGCACCTTTTTATCTGTAGAATAGTGCAGCGTTCTGGCGTTCTCTCTTGACTGCTTTCACCTCGTCAATGTACACCTTTTGAGTTATTTTATTTTCTCTGCACTGGGGCTTGAAATGGGATTAACCTGATGATTTCCTGGGCCTGCAGGTCTTTGTGAATGAGGAACCTGTCCATTCAATTGGGTTCTCTAACTGCCAAAAAAGGCAAAGGGCTACAACCACACAATCTGCGCCACACTGATGTTTGCTTCCAAATCTCAACTAAGAATTTCTCAGACTCTCCAGTTACACCCTTTCCACTGTGCTAGGATTCTGATATTGCTCTATTAACAGCTACCTCATGTGCAGGACGAGTATCTGATATTTTCTTCAGATATTACCCCGGGCTACTAGTTTTAGATCTCTGATAAAGGAGTGAAAGGTACTTTCTTTTTCATTTCTTTTTTTCCCCTTATTTAAAACACTAATAGAACTACACATTTAAAATGCAAAGTCGGCATTTGCTAAGGGTAGTAATTTCTTCAGT